TGCTACACGCCAAGGTATTGGTCCAGTGTGGGTAGATTGGTAAAGCACTGCGTACCTTGTCCTAAGGTTCGTAGGTTCGAGTCTCCTTCAGCCAGAGATCATGTTTGTGTATATTTCGCATGCTCTCGCGAATTCCTTGCATTGTTCAAATCTCTAGTAAGGCTGATGCATGCAGGGATGAGATGAAAAGCTGTAAGCCTTCTCCCTGAAAGCTGGCTACCTGGATCAAAACGTGTAGCGGTGCTACACGCCAAGGTATTGGTCCAGTGGGGTAGATTGGTAAAGCACTGCGTACCTTGTCCTAAGGTTCGTAGGTTCGAGTCTCCTTCAGCCAGAGATCAGTGTTTGTGTATATTTCGCATGCTCTCGCGAATTCCTTGCATATATATATATATATATATATATATATATATATATATATATTATATATATATATAATATATATATATTATGCAATAAGATCACAGTAAACAGGTGATTTCAGAATATGCAAAACAACCACTCTGAAAGAATAGAGAAATTCCAAGCGCTTTCGTGACTACTCATATTATCAAGGGTAATAATGAATTCAAATTTAAAATTTACAGAAAACCTACTAATAACTGTTCCTATGTCCACTATTATTCCTCGCATCAAGATATAGTCAAACTGTCTGTTTTCTCATCAATGTTTCTGAGAGCTTTACGAATTTGTAGTCCTGAGTTCATAGATGAGGAAATATCCAAAATTTATGAAATAGGTAATGATTTAAAATACCCAAGAAATGTAATTGATAAATCTTTTAAAGTTGCTAGAAATACTTTTTACAATCCAAAAAAGGGACAACCAGCCTTATTCAACTAAAAATATGTTGGTTCTCCCTTACCATGAAAACTTGGTTGATATGCCTCTCTTCTTAAGACTTTTAATATTAAAGTTGTATTCAAAAATCTTGATACAGTAAAAAAAACTTTTGATAAAGAATTCCCTCCAAAATGCTGATGGATGTGTCTATAAGATTCCTTGTAAAATTTGCGATAAAGTTTATTACGGTCAAACTGGTAAAAATCTCGAACTAAGATTAAAACAACATAAATATAGCATTAGAACTGGACAAGATTCCAATGCTCTATTTATTCATGTAAGAGATTTTAACCATCCAATTGATTTTCAAAAAGTTGAGAAAGTAGTATCAAGCAAGTCCATGGTCGACAGGAATATAATTGAATCTTGTTTCATAAAAAGCAGTTTTGACAATAATATGAATATTTCCTTTGGTTTATATAAATTAGATCCATTTATAATTAATAGAATTTGGGAAGAATTTAATAATACACTGGACAAATAATCTTTAAAATTTCTTATTTCTTGGGTAGAATAGTTTGTGGGGTGAGTTGTGCCAAGGACCTATCCAAGTTGGGTCGGCGCGCGTCAGGTGTTTAAACCGTTGTGGGATCTGATAGTGAGGTGCCGGCCAGACCCCTTATATAGCTTCCATGGATGCTTTACTTTCATAGTTCCTTGATAATGTGAGTAGTCACGAAAGCGCTTGGAATTTCTCTATTCTTTCAGAGTGGTTGTTTTGCATATATATATATATATATATATATATATATATATATATATATATATAGATATATATATATATATATATATATATATATATATATATATATATATATATATATATATATATATATATATATATATATATATTTATATATATATATATATATATATATATATATATATATATATATATATATATATATATATATATATATATATATATATATAGGGAGGTACCACCTCTAGAACTGTTATAGGGACCCTCATCCTCGGAGAAAAGAATAAACTACTTGCTTCAGGGAAAACTCAAGGTTCTCCCTGAAGCTGTTTGAGAATTTTCTCCTACCACCCCCTATATTTTATATATATTTTATTTGAAGACAAAATACATTGACAAAACATTCACAAAAATACGATAGAAAGTAAAACAACATATGTAACTCAGAGCTACATCTCGAATACTTCGTCCAGCTCCCCAACGGTGGGCCAAGTGCCCAGAATGCTGCAGGCATTTCCTCTCTGGATCGCAATGCTGAGTCTCTGAAAGAGGAACCGGGTCGCCCTGTGGTCCTTGGTTTCTATGATGAGCTTTTCACCCAGCTCTTTAAGGAACTTTAGAGCACACTTGCCCCTTGCTCCAAGGGTCTCCGACCCTACTGGGATGAAGTTATAGCAAGGGGGAAGGTCTTCATATTTACGGATCTTCTGGGTCTCCCTGTGGCTGGCAGCTCCACCCCCTTCCACTACGGAGTATGGCAAATAGGTGTCTGCTAATGTGGCGGCACAGGTATAGTCCCAGGCAATCTGCTTTCCATCCTTCCAAGGTAGCATAGTGGTTCCATCAAGACGCTTTTGACTTCCGTCAGACCTTTGCACATGGGGTTCCCGTTGAGCTGGGCAACGGACTGTGGCGAGGTTATATATTGTATATGTATATATATATATATATATATATATATATATATATATATATATATATATATATATATATGTCGTGCCGAATATGTAAAACTGGTCAGTTAGCAAGAACTCACTTAAAATTAAGTTCTTTCTAAAATTTTCTCTCATACGTTTAAGGATATATTTTTTTTCATTAATGTTAATGTAAAAATTTATAATTTTGCACCAAAAGAATCTTAGAAAACTTACCTAACCTTATTATAACAAAAACAATTTATTTTAGCTTAACCCAAGTAAATATATTTTAGATTTGTTTACAATAATTTAATACTAAACAAACACAGTGAAATATATTTTTTTCGTTAGGTTCAGAATGATTTTGGCGAAATTATTGCATACATAAATTTTCGCTTGTCCTATATGGCAAGATGAGCGTTGCTATTTAAGCCAAGATCGCAAGTTCTGCCTATTCGGCACGACATATATATAATATATATATATATATATATATATATATATATATATATATATATATATATTATATATATATATATATATATATATATGTATATATATATATATATACATATATATATTAATATATATATATATTATATATATATATATATATATATATATATATATATATATATATATATGTCGTGCCGAATAGGCAGAACTTGCCATCTTGGCTTAAATAGCAACGCTCATCTTGCCATATAGGACAAGTGTAAATTTGTGTATGCAATAATTTCGCCGAAATCATTCTGAACCTAACGAAAAAAATATATTTCACTGTGTTTGTTTAGTATTAAATTATTGTAAACAAATCTAAAATATATTTAGTTGGGTTAGGTTAAAATAAATTGTTCTTGTTATAATAAGGTTAGGTAAGTTTTCTAAGATTCTTTTGGTGCAAAATTATAAATTTTTATATCAACATTAATGAAAAAAATATATCTTCAAACGTATAAGAGAAAATTTTAGAAAGGACTTAATTTTAAATGAGTTCTTGCTAATTGACCAGTTTTACATATTCGGCACGACATATATATATTTATATACATATATATATATGTATATATATATATATATGTATTATATATATATATATATATATATATATATATATATATATATATATATATGTATATATATATATGTATATATATATATATGTATATATATATGTGTGTGTGTGTGTGTGTGTATGTATGTATACATATACATATCATCAATGTGGTTAGAAGGATTACTGGGATTGTTGGAATCACAGAATTGGCTCTCTCTCTCTCTCTCTCTCTCTCTCTCTCTCTCTCTCTCTCTCTCTCTCTCTCTCTCTCTCTCTCTCTCTCTCTCTCTCTCTCTCTCTCTCTCTCTCTCTCTCTCTCTCCTCTCTCTCTCTCCGTCAGGCACTCAACCGTACTGAAGCTCTTCATGATGATGTTGTTGAATTCACCGTGTCTTGCATGCTATCTCTAGGAGTCTGAACGGCTTAAACCACGTAGATCATATTGGTCAGCTAGTGCCTTCTACAAATACACTCACATTCATTGTGAATTAAGGCAGCAAATCAGAGAGCCAGTTCAAAATCGAGGATTTCTAAGTCAAGATATGTTACCATTTCCAATATAGGAACTGTTTGCAGGGGTCGGCAACCCCCGGCCCCCGGGCCACATCCGGCCCGCGTGAGGCTTTCGTCCGGCCCGCCAACTTAACACCTGGACACTAATTATCTAATTAGTATCGAATACAGATGCAGAAGTTCACTTCAAGGTTAAGCAGTCCCTGGAAAAGTTACTTCGTATCCTCCCTCCTTAGATTTTTTCATTTGAGTTTGTTGTCTGGTGGTAAAGCAATTGTTCAGTAGGTATCTGCATTCGATAATAATGTTTATTTAATTGTTTGTGATAAATTATCAATCCTGAGTTCGAGAAAAAACTTTTATATTACAATTAACAACATGGGCCGGCCCTCCTTCGAGAGACTGCATAGCTGTCTGGCTCTCTCTCTCTCTCTCTCTCTCTCTCTCTCTCTCTCTCTCCACAAGGTTTCCGACCCCTGGAGGATCTCCAGAGTGTTGTGTGCTCACAGCTTTCAGATTGGCAGTTTCCTTTCTTTCTTTTTTTTTTTTTTTGCTACAGTGTTAAAGGCAGCTGTGATTTTTGTATGTGGCAACATTAAAGACAGGTGTTTTTCTCTTCAGTTGACCTACTTACCATCAGGAGCTTTTGTTTAGCACGTGACCTGACTAGTGTCAGGTGTTCTCTTTCCCAGGTCCTCAAATTAACGATAGGTGTTTCCTCTCATAAGTTGAATTATTTAACGTGCTACTTTTTTCCCCAGAAGAAACTTCAATGGTTAACGTTAAGCGTGTGTTCCCTGAGTGATCATGTGATTAACGTCAAATGTTGGTGTTCCTGCAGGTGCAGCCTTCAAGTGGGTGAGGTTCAACGTGCCGGCGTGGGCTGCAAGTCACACGTTAAGCGTGTGTTCCCTGAGTGATCTTGTGATTAACGTTAAATGTTTGTGTTCCTGCAGGTGCAGCCTTCAAGTGGGTGAGGTTCAACGTGCCGGCGTGGGCTGCAAGGGGCGGCGAGGCTCTCCTCACCTGCCAGTTCGACCTGGCTGATGACCACCTCTACTCCGTCAAATGGTACAAGGCTGGCCGGGAGTTCTACCGCTTCGTGCCGGCCGATTGGCCTACCAAGCAGCACTTCCCACTACCCGGCATCACTGTTGATGTAAGTATGAACCAGGGCACAACCTGTCACTGTTGATGTAGGTATGAGTCAGGGAATAATCTGTCACTGTTGATGTGGGCATGAACCAGGCAACAATCTGTCACTGTTGATGTAGGTATGAACCAGGGTACAAGCTGTCACTGTTGATATAAGTATGAACCAGCGCACAAACTGTCACTGTTAATGTAGGTATGAACCAGGGAACAATCTGTCACTGTTGATGTAGGTATGAACCAGGGAACAATGTGTAACTGTTGATGTAGGTATGAACCAGGGAACAATCTGTCACTGTTGATGTAGGTATGAACCAGGGAAGAATCTGTCACTGTTGATGTAGGTATGAACCAGGGAACAATCTGTCACTGTTGATGTAGGTATGAACCAGGGAACAATCTGTCACTGTTGATGTAGGTATGAACCAGGGAACAATCTGTCACTGTTGATGTAGGTATGAACCAGGGAACAATCTGTCACTGTTGATGTAGGTATGAACCAGGGAACAATCTGTCACTGTTGATGTAGGTATGAACCAGGGCACAACATGTCACTACTGATGTAGGTATGAACCAGGGCACAACATGTCATTGTTGATGTAGGTATGAACCAGGGCACAACATATTCCCTATGAGGATAGACTGAAGGCCCTGAATCTGCACTCTCTCGAAAGGCATAGAATTAGGGGGAATATGATCGAGGTGTATAAATGGAAAACAGGAATAAATAAAGGGGATGTAAATAGCGTGCTGAAAATTTCCAGCAAAGACAGGACTCGCAGCAATGGTTTCAAGTTGGAAAAATTTAGATTCAGGAAGGATATAGGAAAGCACTGGTTTGGTAATAGAGTTGTGGAAGAGTGGAACAAGCTCCCGAGTACAGTTATTCAGGCTAAAACGTTGTGTAGTTTTAAAAATAGGTTAGATAAATACATGAGTGGGTGTGGCTGGGTGTGAGTTGGACCTGACAAGCTTGTGGCATCCTTGAGTGGAGGTGACCAGACTGGGTGGGTCATTGGGCTAATCCGGGGGGGTTATTGGTCTAATCCGGGGGGGGGGGCGGGAATGGACCTGCTCCGCATGGGTCAGTAGGCCTGTTGCAGTGTTTTTTCTTTCTTAAGTTCTTATGTGGGAGGTACAGTGGTGCCTTGTGTTAGGTACAGTGGTGCCTTGTGTTAGGCACAGTGGCGCCTTGTGCGAGGTACAGTGGTGCCTTGTGGAAGGTACAGTGGTGCCTTGTGGGAAGTACAGTAATGCCCCCGGAAGGAGCGGCAGCGTTGCCTTGTGGGAGGTACAGTGGTGCCTTGTGCGAGGTACAGTGGTGCCTTGTGCGAGGTACAGTGGTGCCTTGTGGGAGGTACAGAGGTGCCTTGTGCGAGGTACAGTGGTGCCTTGTGGAAAGTATGGTGATGCTTTGTGGGAGGTACAGTGGTGCATTGTGGGAGGTACAGTGGTACCTTGTGTTAGGTACAGTGGTGCCTTGTGTTAGGCACAGTGGCGCCTTGTGCGAGGTACAGTGGTACCTTGTGGAAGGTACAGTGGTGCCTTGTGGGAAGTACAGTAATGCCCCCGGAAGGAGCGGCAGCGTTGCCTTGTGGGAGGTACAGTGGTGCCTTGTGCGAGGTACAGTGGTGCCTTGTGCGAGGTACAGTGGTGCCTTGTGGGAGGTACAGTGGTGCCTTGTGCGAGGTACAGTGGTGCCTTGTGGGAGGTACAGTGATGCCTTGTGGAAGGTACAGTGGTACCTTGTGGGAGGTACAGTGGTGCCTTGTGGGAGGTACAGTGATGCCTTGTGGAAGGTACAGCGGTACCTTGTGGGAGGTACAGTGGTGCCTTGTGGGAGGTACAGTGGTGCCTTGTGGGAGGTACAGTGGTGCCTTGTGGGAGGTACAGTGGTGCCTTGTGGGAGGTACAGTGGTGCCTTGTGGGAGGTACAGTGGTGCCTTGTGGGAGGTACAGTGGTGCCTTGTGGGAGGTACAGTGGTGCCTTGTGGGAGATACAGTGGTGCCTTGTGGGAGGTACAGTGATGCCTTGTGGAAGGTACAGTGGTGCCTTGTGAGAGGTACAGTGGTGCCTTGTGGGAGGTACAGTGGTGCCTTGTAGGAGGTACAGTGATGCCTTGTTGGAGGTACAGTGGTGCCTTGTGGGAGGTACAGTGGTACCTTGTGGGAGGTACAGTGGTGCCTTGTGGGAGGTACAGTGGTGCCTTTTGGGAGGTACAGTGGTGCCTTGTTGGAGGTACAGTTGTGCCTCGTGGGAGGTACAGTGGTGCCTTGTGGGAGGTACAGCGGTACCTTGTGGAAGGTACAGTGGTGCCTTGTGGGAGGTACAGTGGTACCTTGTGGGAGGTACAGTGGTGCCTTGTGAGAGGTACAGTAGTACCTTGTGGGAGGTACAGCGGTACCTTGTGGAGGTGCAGTGGTGCCTTGTGGGAGGTACAGCTGTACCTTGTGGGAGGTACAGTGGTGCCTTGTGGGAGGTACAGTGGTGCCTTGTGGGAGGTACAGTGGTGCCTTGTGGGGAAGTACAGTGGTACCTTATGGGAGGTACAGTGGTGCCTTTTGGGAGGTACAGTGGTGCCTTGTGGGAGGTACAGTGGTGCCTTGTGGGAGGTACAGTGGTACCTTATGGGAGGTACAGTGGTGCCTTGTGTGAGGTACAGTGGTGCCTTGTGGGAGGTACAGTGGTACCTTGTGGGAGGTACAGTGGTGCCTTGTGGGAGGTACAGAGGTGCCTTGTGCGAGGTACAGTGGTGCCTTGTGGAAAGTATGGTGATGCTTTGTGGGAGGTACAGTGGTGCATTGTGGGAGGTACAGTGGTACCTTGTGTTAGGTACAGTGGTGCCTTGTGTTAGGCACAGTGGCGCCTTGTGCGAGGTACAGTGGTACCTTGTGGAAGGTACAGTGGTGCCTTGTGGGAAGTACAGTAATGCCCCCGGAAGGAGCGGCAGCGTTGCCTTGTGGGAGGTACAGTGGTGCCTTGTGCGAGGTACAGTGGTGCCTTGTGCGAGGTACAGTGGTGCCTTGTGGGAGGTACAGTGGTGCCTTGTGCGAGGTACAGTGGTGCCTTGTGGGAGGTACAGTGATGCCTTGTGGAAGGTACAGTGGTACCTTGTGGGAGGTACAGTGGTGCCTTGTGGGAGGTACAGTGATGCCTTGTGGAAGGTACAGCGGTACCTTGTGGGAGGTACAGTGGTGCCTTGTGGGAGGTACAGTGGTGCCTTGTGGGAGGTACAGTGGTGCCTTGTGGGAGGTATAGTGGTGCCTTGTGGGAGGTACAGTGGTGCCTTGTGGGAGGTACAGTGGTGCCTTGTGGGAGGTACAGTGGTGCCTTGTGGGAGGTACAGTGGTGCCTTGTGGGAGATACAGTGGTGCCTTGTGGGAGGTACAGTGATGCCTTGTGGAAGGTACAGTGGTGCCTTGTGAGAGGTACAGTGGTGCCTTGTGGGAGGTACAGTGGTGCCTTGTAGGAGGTACAGTGATGCCTTGTTGGAGGTACAGTGGTGCCTTGTGGGAGGTACAGTGGTACCTTGTGGGAGGTACAGTGGTGCCTTGTGGGAGGTACAGTGGTGCCTTTTGGGAGGTACAGTGGTGCCTTGTTGGAGGTACAGTTGTGCCTCGTGGGAGGTACAGTGGTGCCTTGTGGGAGGTACAGCGGTACCTTGTGGAAGGTACAGTGGTGCCTTGTGGGAGGTACAGTGGTACCTTGTGGGAGGTACAGTGGTGCCTTGTGAGAGGTACAGTAGTACCTTGTGGGAGGTACAGCGGTACCTTGTGGAGGTGCAGTGGTGCCTTGTGGGAGGTACAGCTGTACCTTGTGGGAGGTACAGTGGTGCCTTGTGGGAGGTACAGTGGTGCCTTGTGGGAGGTACAGTGGTGCCTTGTGGGGAAGTACAGTGGTACCTTATGGGAGGTACAGTGGTGCCTTTTGGGAGGTACAGTGGTGCCTTGTGGGAGGTACAGTGGTGCCTTGTGGGAGGTACAGTGGTACCTTATGGGAGGTACAGTGGTGCCTTGTGTGAGGTACAGTGGTGCCTTGTGGGAGGTACAGTGGTACCTTGTGGGAGGTACAGTGGTGCCTTGTGGGAGGTACAGTGGTACCTTGTAGGAGGTACAGTGGTGCCTTGTGGAAGGTACAGTGAGGCCTTGTTGGAGGTACAGCGGTGCCTTGTGGGAGGCACAGTGGTACCTTATGGGAGGTACAGTGGTACCTTGTGGGAGGTACAGTGGTGCCTTGTGGGAGGTACAGTGGTGCCTTGTGGGAGGTACAGTGGTGCCTTGTGGGAGGTACAGTGGTTCCTTGTGGGAGGCACAGTGGTACCTTATGGAAGGTACAGCGGTGCCTTGTGGGAGGTACAGTGGTGCCTTGTGGGAGGTACAGTGGTGCCTTGTGGGAGGCACAGTGGTACCTTATGGGAGGTACAGTGGTGCCTTGTGGGAGGTACAGTGGTGCCTTGTGGGAGGTACAGTGGTACCTTGTGGGAGGTACAGTGGTACCTTGTGGGAGGTACAGTGGTACCTTATGGGAGGTACAGTGGTGCCTTGCGGGAGGTACAGTGGTGCCTTGTGGGAGGTACAGTGGTGCCTTGTGGGAGGTACAGTGGTACCTTGTGGGAGGCACAGTGGTGCCTTGTGGAAGGTACAGTGGTACCTTGTGGGAGGTACAGTGGTGCCTTGTGGGAGGTACAGTGGTGCCTTGTGGGAGGTACAGTGGTTCCTTGTGGGAGGCACAGTGGTACCTTATGGGAGGTACAGTGGTGCCTTGTGGGAGGTACAGTGGTACCTTGTGGGAGGTACAGTGGTGCCTTGTGGGAGGTACAGTGGTGCCTTGTGGGAGGTACAGTGGTACCTTGTGGGAGGTACAGTGGTACCTTATGGGAGGTACAGTGGTGCCTTGTGGAAGGTACAGTGGTACCTTGTGGGAGGTACAGTGGTGCCTTGTGGGAGGTACAGTGGTGCCTTGTGGGAGGTACAGTGGTGCCTTGTGGGAGGTACAGTGGTGCCTTG